CCAATTGATATGGTATCGTATCGGGATAGGGAAGGATTTCGAGCACCTTCAAACTCCAAGAACAAAAGAGGCGAGAAAGAGAGAGAGATTGGGGTTTAGTAGAAGGTATTTTATTTATTCATTAATTAATAATTCATTGAAATAGATAAATTTATAGCTAGGACATCTAAAGAATCCTTACCATAGAAGGAAACTAAATAATCTAGGAATCCTAATTATAAATGGTAACAAATATCCTAATAATACTATATTACTTTCTAATAATAATATAATTAACTAACCATAAATAGTGATACTACCTAATATAATAATAATAATAACCACTAACCATTAATAATAATAATAATAATAATAAACTTTTTCATCCTTTGGAATCATTGTTTGAGCGCTTGAGGCAAGTTGGGGTTCTAAGTGATCCAAAAGGCCTTTGAATTACATGACTCCGGGCCTTATTGAGAGTTGACGATCCTCTATATGTAGTCAATGATATGTTTCAACTTGAGCCGTTGAATTATTTTCTATTTTTAAGTGCGTAAGTTACGTAAATATATTGCATACGTGCTTATTATACGTGTAATGTTAAACTTGTGTTTGTTTTCTTTTTAATTTTGTTTCCGGTTCTTGGCGGTGTTTCTTGGGTTACCTTAGTTGGAAAATTTGATTATCTTTAGAGCTTGTTTACCCCATTTTATCAAAAAAACCAAAAAAAATAAGAAAAATAAAAAACCAAAAAAATATTTACTTTTTATTCAAACCCCCCCTCCTTTGTGTTATATTAGCATAAGTTTTTATTTACTAAGTTATACTATAATGTTTGTTTATAAGTTATAAATATAAGTTTTTATACTTTTTTCGTATATTTTAAATATGTGTTTTATGTTTAGAAGTTATTTTATAAATTTTCTATTTATATAAGTTATATTTATAAGTTTTTATATTTATTTAGTTATAAGTTTTATTATAAGTTTTATACGTCTTATGATATGTGTAGTAGTTAGTAGGATTTTATTTTTTTATTTTTGTGACAACGTGTTCGCGTACTAAATTGATTTTAAAAGTACAAACTTTCTTCGTGGGATCGACCCTTGCTTGCCCTAGCTATAGTTTTTATTTGATTATGTCTTGGGGGTTAGCTAAGGTTATTTATAAATTTTTAATTTGTTTTGGACCGTGCGATGCCGGGTCTTCAACATCTGGTTATTTCCAGCTTTCAATGGTGCATTGAGTTGTCCAGCGTTCTATTGAGGCACGAAGTTGGATGCCTCTGTTTCAGTGTCGGCATGCTCATTGCCCAGCTGTTGGGTGTTTTCATGCGCGTGTGACAATGCGTCACTCATTCTAAATTACACATATAAGTTCCTAATCAGTCAATAACACATAACAGACAAAGCTATTAACTTATTACCTTCCCGGGGCTGATGAGTCGCAAGATATGTAGTGTAGCCTTTTGGAAACTATCTGTTTATGATCTGAAGATTGGCTTTAAAACCATATGCTCCGATGCCAAAATATAATACCACAACCCGCGTAACCTGAATACTCGAATGAGCGAACCAGGTTGCTACTAAATTGGTACCCAAACGTGACTTAATTTTCAAAACAATTTAAATAATACTTCAAAAAATAGTTTAACATTCATCGGAGTAATAATCAAAATAGTTGCAGAAGCTTAATTCATAATTAAAAACACAACTTGGGAATCATGCCCATTAAAGTAATAAGTTAATTTACTAATAAACAATAACTCAAAATCATCAAGCACCGCCACGCACATCTCAGCATCCTCATCGCCCTCCGGGATTGGCTCCAAGTTCCTCATTCCTTAGATTACCTACGTGCAGCAGAGAACAAATGCTACACGCTCAGCATTGAAGCTAGGTGAGAAATATCTAACATACAGCTATACCCATAGACGACCCCTCAAGCCCATATCATCATACAATATCATACACATAAACAGACATCATAGTTTCATAAGAGTTCATAAGATACAATCAAACAATGATACAGGAACTACGTACTTTCCTTTTTAGTTTACTTCACTTTCTTTCTTGTACTTGGCTCTTAAACTATGCTAGGTTAAAGCTTAACTGATTTCGACTTGCTTATGGGAGTCATGACCTTCCCCTTCGGAACAAAAGTTAAGATCAAAACCAACTTAGGAGTTCCTCGTTGGGTGGGTGAGATCTCTGTCCCCTTTGAAACGACAATTCATAGATCCTTGTGCGCACGTTTTACTTGAACAACCATTGGACCCAGCAGGTACCACATGACTCTATCTTACTAACTTATGGCATACCTTACCACTAATCTATTCAGGTCATTCCCTAGAGTTCTTCTAGGTGATTTGATCAAATATCCATTAAAAGTTCAGAGTGCAATGTTAATACATCCTTCAAGCATCAACAACATATCCAATACCCCCAAACAACAGCCTAACATTTGTGTTGACACCCATGTTTACCGTCATGCAACACACAAAGTCTCGTAATCGATCCTCGATAAAAACATAGAACTCTAACCAGTTCAGGTACCTCATAGTAGCCTTAACGGTATGGAGTACCGAGCCCACAGTACTAGGGTACCGCCCCACGGTACGTGGGTACCATCCGACACAAGCTTTGCACTCACCTGGTAGGCCTGTCATGGTAGCCTCTATCGAATCGGCGGTAGGGCCTACCATCTGCCCGGTACATAGGTACCGTTTGGTGATAGGTACTGGCAGAAGAGGGTGGAGTATGCTGAGGGTGGCGGTAGCTCGGTACTGACTCGGCAGTACTGTCCTACCGTCGGATGCGATGAGTTCTAGGTTCGCACTAGCAGTGTTTTCCTACATCAAACCAGCACCAATTTCACAACGAACAACATCAATATATAGGTTCATGATAACATTCTTAAAATTATCTAACAACATTCTAAACATATCTACACCGATTCATGCTTCCAAACCACAAAACAATATAAACAAGACATGGTTCACGTAGAGTTCATATAATTCAACCGTAACGATTCCACGAATGTAAGATTCAAACCTACGAATGTAACTATACGTTAGATGTCCATGTACTCACCTCGATTACGACGTTTACGAATTACCGAGATAGTGCTAACGACGGGGAAAAATCGGACGAGAGCTCCCTTGTTCTTCTTCCTTCTTCCTTCTTCTTCTTGTCTTCTTCTTCCTTCGCAGCTACTCTGCGTCTGCTGTTGTTCTTCCGTTCTTCGGTTGAGAGAAAAGAACGAGAGAGGGAGGGAGTAAGTTCACGTAAATGTGGGGTGGCGTCTAGGGATTTAGGCATGTAAGGGGTTTATTTATAGGTTAGGGGTTTTGGGCTCCGTATTTATTAACGTACCTGGCCCAAAACACACTTTTCGGACCCACGGGCTCCAAATCTGAATCCGCTCGCACTGTTAGATTCATTCTGCCGAATCCTACACAACGGTATAAACCTTTTTTATCAAACGAAGAATATTTCATAATTCCACCGAGTCCGTCTCAGAAATTAATTAACTATTTTTAATTAATTAATTCCGTTAGGCCGGGTTTCAGGGTGTTACAAAAAGAGAATAATATTCTCCCTTTTCTTGATCCATGCGTAGGGAAATAATTTAACAAGAAGAATACTTTTCTTCTTGATATTTATTCTTCATATTTGAATAAGAAAATTGAGAGAGAGGGTTTGAGTTTTTCGGCCAAATTTCTTGCAATCGCCTTGAAGAATATTTTTTTTCTTTCCTTGGTCGCCAACGTTCATATGTTGTTCTTGTTCGTATGTGTGTGGTTGGTCTGTACTATCACCACACGCGATAGCGGTTTTTTACAAGAAGAAGAGTGCCCACGTTTTTCTAGTATGTAGGCGGGCACTACGTCCATAAGAATAGTTTCACCGATTCCGCTATCCTTCCACGTTGTTTTGATTTTTGCAGGTTCAGTTCATAACAACCTCGCTGCATTCTTCCTCAGGCCGTGGTATCCTTGCTCGTGTTCTGGTTCTAGCCATAATGACCTCGCTACTACTCCACTGACCACAATACCTTTTACAGTGTCTTCTAATGTCCATGCACAACAAGAACATTTGAAGATCTAGAGAGTTATTTTTTGTTTTTGTCTAAATAAATTATACCCGAGAGTATATTGATAATATACTCCCTCCGTCCGGAATTAAACTTCCCGGTTTGACTTTTCCTCATTTTTAGTGAGTGTTGACTCTCACATTGAAATGTCTAAACTACCCTTATATCTTACTGATATCACCATCCCTGCCCAGCCCACTGCCGC